GTTTTTGATACCAAGTGTACTGTTTTTTTTTTAAATTTTTGGTATAAAAAGTTGGTCACACATGTAGTGAATAATCAGTAATATTTTTTCTACCACTCCGCCCACCTCGAATGATTTTGTAATTTTCGTGGATACTGACGATGAGATGATTCAGGACGTCAACGTGATCAACGTGGCTAACGAGGTTAATGACTTTTTCCGGGCCTTATTCGCCCCAGATAATTTCGTAGAAGCAAGTCGAAGAAGCCAGTCGCCGAAGACGTAATAAGTTGAAAGTTGTCAAAAGAAGTCGCAAATTTCTGCCGGTCACTTGGAATCTATATACATAATAGTATTTACAATAAAAAAAACTATACTCTATAATAAATCTTACATGTAAATACATATAAATAAAGGCTTCAAGAGTAAAAATGCTAGGGTTTCTTTATTTAACAGACAAGATATTTTTTCCTAAAAGTAATGTAAACAAGTTTTCCACTAAGATACTCCTTGGGAAGTTAAATGAGAATGGTATTTCTCATATTGTATAAAAAGGAAAATACATGAATAGATATAGTCCTGCACAAATCGAATTTAAATCTACAAAAAAATAAAAAAAATAAGGCAAACTTTCCTTGCCCGCTTTACTCCGCTGAAGCGAGAGCAGGAGATCGGCAGCGGCCGTCCGAGGAGTTCGGATCCGAAACCCGAAGCTCACACTCCGGAGCGCGGACGTTGCGAGAAGCGACCGAGGGAGTGCTAGAGGGGCGTGAGCGAAAGCTCGGAGAGCTTAGTGAAGTGGGCCACTGACCTAAACATTCCGCCCCTCCTTGCAACTACTCGGGTTGAAACATAGCTGGTGGCTACATAGTTGCTCTTCTCACGGCTGGTGGCAGGCTCCGGACACGACCCACCCAAACACGGTGCTCTGGGCTACTGGTAGTCCATCCTGAATTTTCAGGAAGCCCGGTCGCAACACGCTCGGATACATATCCGCGCCCAGGATGATGGAGATCGTCGCGGGGAGATAGAAACGCTCGTCAGCCAGCGTAATGACCCGGAAGTGGGTCCGTACCGCGTCGCTCAGCTCCCGGATTGGAGTGATGAGCGCCGCAGTGTCGAAGACTCGAGTCCCGGTCTCTAACCGGACCAAAGCCGTCGGGAGGAGGTTGATGCTTTTCCGCTGCAGGAGGGACGGAGCGGGCTACGTCGCACCCCGGCCAAACAGCGGTGGCAGTACCGGTTGGCAAGGACAGCCCAGAGCCTCTTCTCGGCACTCAGACGGAGGAACCGACGACATTTCCGAAGTGGATGGATCCCGCTACAGACTCGGCAACGGTAGGATTGCATACCTCGAGTTCGTCTGTGTTCCAATGCGATGGCGCTGCTTGGACGTGGAAACATCGTGTGAGATCTGATTGGCGGAATAGGACAAATGAAAAATTTGGATCAGTACTGATAAGAATTGCGAATTGGAACTACGGGTTGTGTGACGAACCCGCCTAGGAGGCGTGTACGCCACAATGGCTTTTCTTACCTTTATGATAGTTTTAAGAGAAATTACATGGAGTTCGATAAATATTAAGACCTAGTAAGATTAAATAAGTGATATCTAAGTTTAAGTCCCAGGGTGGCAACACTAACCGATAATTACCCGAGGCGCATTTAATACTAGAAAAGTAAGGAGCTAAGATACCAGGAGTAGGAAAATACTGGAAATCCCGAATGCGGGAACAAGGAGAAAAGGGCACGCGATCACACAATAACCTGGAGCAGGGCCTCTTGGCTCTTCTCTCGGGATCGCGAAACGAGGCAGACGTGTGATCGGCACACGGCTCATGCGAAACTTCGAGGCTCCACGTGCACTCCGCAAGTTCATTCGCAAAGTAGGTCAAACGGGACGCCCGACGCGACCTTTCGCAGTTCTCCCTTCGCGAGTGTTCCGCGGGTTTAATTTGGCCAAGCGCCACGCTGCCAATCGTGGGTGACATTGAAGAGGTTAGTACAAATAGGTCCTGAATACGCTCAGAACGGTGTAGCGGACTCGGGTGAGGAAAATCCCAATAAAGTTTTACGGTCGTGTAATCATATCTCCCGATCTTGTGTTTTCATTTCGTAGTTAAAAGTGAACCTAACCTAACCTAACCTCATTCCCAGAGCATACTTCCCGTTCGCCACTGTAGCCCTAGTTTTTGCTCCGAGTAGTACCATCGGACCCGAACGCGGACCCCTTCCCGTTCGGTCTGGTAGTTTCCCCATCCCCTTTGCGTAGTTTGGGATTTGTGCGTGGACCCCCGTCCCGCCGGATCTGTTCCCCGGTAGTTTCCCACTCCCTCTGCGTAGTTTGGGATTTGTGCGTGGACCCCCGTCCCGCCGGATCTTTTCCCGGTATTTTCCCCGAGTTTCCCCCTTGCGTAGTTTGGGATTTGTGCGTGGACACCCGTCCCGCCGGATCCGTTGCTCGGTAGTTTCCCCACTCCCTCGCGTAGTTTGGGATTTGTGCGTGGACACCCGTCCCGCCGGATCCGTTCTCCGGTAGTTTCTCTATCCCCCTGCGTAGTTTGGGATTTGAGCGTGGACACCCGTCCCGCCGGATCTATTAACCTAGTGTCTGGTCTACGTAGTAGTTTGGAGACTGGCACGTGGACACCCGTCCCGGCCGGTCAGTCAAGTCGAATCCCTCTGTCCCTTTACTATCCGACCCCATCCCAAAGTATCTTCCCGGCTCGGCCTCGCCCGAAGGTCCAGGCCGGTGGATTTTCCGCCCTTGACGCGAGATCCAAGACTTCAGCACCCGCAAAGTATCTTCCCGGCTCGGCCTCGCCCGAAGGTCCAGGCCGGTGGATTTTCCGCCCTTGACGCGAGATCCAGGACTTCCACCCGCAAAGTATCTCCCGGCTCGGCCTCGCCCGAAGGTCCAGCCGGTGGATTTTCCGCCCTTGACACGAGACCCAGGACTTACACTCCCAGCCCGGCCCCAAGGATTTCGCCCTGACGCGGATCCAGGACTTCAACGACCACCCAGTATTCTCCCGGCTCGGCCTCGCCCGAAGGTCCAGCCCGGTGGATTTTTCGCCCTTGACGCGAAACACAAGACAAGGATTCCACGCGTCCACGTTTCCGTCGACACGGACAAGAACCCTCCGGTGCAGACTCCCCATTAAAAATCATCCGTTCACCTGTAGAACGGAACTCTCTAGTCCGGTGTTTCGGTGATTTACAAATTTCTTGTAAAGGACTCTTGGATCCGACTGAGATCTGTACCCCGGCCGAGAAAACATCCTTACAAGTGGCGCCCGAGCAGGGACGCCGAGACTAGCTAGAGATTTATACAAGTGGCCTAAAGACCCACTGTGAAAAGGGTAGAGTCGCCCGGGGAGCCGAGACGAAACGACCAGAGGAATAGAAGGATATAAGAAGGAAACCGCCCAGGAAAATAAGACGATGAGTACTCCTAAGGAACCCGAGGGTGAGTACGAAGAAGATAATTATATCAAGAACCCTGGTGTAGGAGTCCGCTGGATATATGCACGCCGAAGAGACGAACTCAACTCCCTTGCCGTTGAGTTCGGCTTCAAAGCGGATGGTACCGTCGAAGAGGCCAGGAAGGCGTTTGCCAACCTGGTCAGCGCAGGGTCCTTCCCACAACGCGTGTGGAGCCGGCTAGCTCAGCTGCAGGAGCACTACAGCAGTCGGGCCCCGAGCCCCGTTCCCACAGGAAAGAACGACGAGATGGAGCAATTCGCAGAGTCCCTCCGAATCCCCGTCATCTCCGACGCTCCGCCGCTCGAGGTTCCCGCTCGTCATCGAGGAGTACATCCCGGAACGGCACACGGTGCCCGGATGCCGCTCAAAGATGTTCGCTTGGCCACTGGCCTGCAGGGGCAGGAGGTGCGGAGTAATACGACTCCCACTCAGCACTTGCTTCCTGAGAAGATACACAAGTGGAACCTACGGTTCGATGGTAGCTCGGATCCGCTAACACTCATCGCTGTACTCGAGGAGAAGATGACGACGTATAGGATAAATCCGGAAGAGATCCCCCGGGCTATGTCCGAAATCTTCGAGGGTCCGGCGGCACGGTGGTTCCGTACTAGCCATCTGCAGTCTGCCTCTTGGGGAACTTTCCGGAGGGAATTCCTGGAGTTCTTCCTACCTCCGCGATATTTCGACCGATTAGAGGACGAGATTCGGACTCACGTGCAGAGAAGAGGAGAGCCTTTCAAAACATACCTAATCGAGCTTAGGACGAAGATGCAGCAGGCCGGGTACCGAGAAGAGGAAGAGTTGTACCGCGCTTATGAAAACATGGCTCCAGAGTACCGGCTATACATCAAGCGTAGCGAATTCGGGACGTTGAAGCAGCTGACCCACATGGCTACTGAGTACGAATGTGTCAAACAACTCGAGTCGACTCGAGACGGGACCCCAGGAGGGACGGACAGGAACCGCGAGGGACCGCAACCTCGGCGTTCACCGAACCCCTTTCGGAACTTGGAGAGTACTACACAGGCAGGACACGTGACTCACCGGATGATCGGGCAAGAAACCTCGCGAGTGGACGTGCAGCGTGCCTGCGGCCGTTGTGGTGAGAACGGACATTTCCGTCGCGGCTGTCCCAACCCACGTCGTGACTTTTGTTGGGATTGTGGCCGGGTGGGAGTGCTAACTATAGAGTGCTGCCGTCGAAATGCCTCGGGAAATGGAGGACGTCTCCGCCGGAATCCGGGTACGGCAGAGACGAACGAAACAACGGCCCGACCCCAACAAAACCCCCGTTAAGGATACACGGTGGACTCATCACAGCAGCGATAGAAGTCGGAGGAAGGTGGGTAGACGCCACCGTTGATACAGGGGCATCGAGGAGTTTCGCCAGTGAAAGTTTTACAAAGCTGGTTGCCCGCGCAGACGAGGTTCGTGAAGTTGTCACCAGAATAGCGTTGGCCGATCGGTCATGTCTGGATGTGACAAAATTGTGGCGAGCCCCGGTCACGTTGGCGGGCACCACAGTTCTCTTACCCATGTTGGTGATGCCCACCATGTTGGACCGGGTGATACTTGGGATGGATTTCCTCAAAGCAGCCGGGACGCGCGTGCGATGTGGGCAGGCCACCCTCGAATTGCGATCTGAACCCCAAGCAAGAGGGGATCCTTTGTTACAACCAGTGCTCATACCTCCGAGGGACGATCGAGAAAGAGCGGTACACTCTGACAAGTTTAGGGTCCAATTGGGGACTGCCAGACAAGGAGGAACAGAGGTTCTTAGCCCTACGCCTACGTGGAACGCGGCCACGACAAAAGACACTGGGAAAACTGCTAGGACGGAGGCGGAGGACCACGACAAAGGGCGACGGATTGCGCCATTGAGTCCGAGGCAACAAGGCTTCCTCGAACAAGAGTTAGCTTTGTTCGAGAGCCTCCAGGGAGTATCTCAGATCGCCGAGCATCGCATCGTCATGAGCGACGATAAGCCCTTAAAGCAAAGGTATTATCCCAGGAACCCCGCGATGCAACACGTCATCGATACCCAAGTAGATGAACTGCTCCGTGCAGGAGCCATCGAGCCTTCCAGGAGCCCACATAGCGCACCGATCGTGTTGGTGAAGAAAAAGGGGGGGTTGAACGCACACTCAGTGCCCGACGCCTACCCTGTCCCGAGGATCAATCACATCCTGGAGAAGTTGCGTCACGCCCGGTATATCTCCACGTTGGATTTGAAAAACGGCTATTGGCAAATACCCATGGCCAAGGATAGTCGTCAATACACGGCCTTTACGGTTCCAGGACGGGGACTATATCAATGGAAGGTCATGCCCTTTGGCCTGCACTCCGCCAGCGCAACGTTCCAACGTGCTCTGGACAGTGTGATTGGGGCGGAGATGGAGCCGGTTGCCTTTGCCTACTTAGATGACATCATTGTCGTTAGCGCTACGGAGGAGCAGCACCTCGCACACCTCGCCGAAGTGTTTCGCAGATTACGGGCGGCAAATTTGAGGATAAATCCAAGGAAATGTACATTCTTCAAACAGAAACTGGTTTATCTCGGTCACGTGATCAGCGGCGAAGGGATTCAGACTGACCCTGAGAAGGTGTCTGCGATCAACGGGCTGAAGATCCCCACCAATCTGAAGGAACTACGCCAATGGATCGGGATGGCATCCTGGTACCGGAGATTCGTCCCGGGCTTCGCGACCATCGTGCAACCGGTGACCGCATTGCTGAAGAAAGGCCGGAAGTGGACTTGGGGACCGGAACAGCAAACCGCCTTGGATGAGATTAGAAGATGCCTGACCACCGCCCCCGTGTTGGGTTGTCCGGATTTCGACCGGAAGTTTGTCTTACAGACTGATGCGAGTGACATAGGCTTGGGAGCGGTGTTATCTCAGGACGTCGAGGGCCAAGAGAAGGTCATCGCATACGCTAGTCGTCGACTAAAAAGGAGTGTCTGGCCATCATCTGGGCCATCAGGAAGATGCGATGTTACCTGGAAGGCTACCGATTTGAAGTCGTTACCGATCACTTGGCTCTCAAATGGTTAAATTCCATCGAAAGTCCGTCCGGCCGAATAGCGCGCTGGGCTTTGGAATTACAACAGTTCCAATTCGACGTGCGTTACCGACGAGGGAAGTTGAACGTCGTGGCTGATACGCTTTCCCGACAGCCCTGTGAGGTACTTCAAGGCGCTATCGAGCTCAAGGACCACTGCGAATGGATCAGGAAGATGAAAGACAAGGTACGCGACGAGCCTGAGAAGTTCTCTGACTACATGATGGAGAACGGTCAGCTCTATAGGAACATGGGTTACCGAGCAGACGACGAGGACTACTTCCCGTGGAAACTCTGTGTACCCACTTCCTGTAGAGCCCGCGTCTTATACGAATGTCATGATTCCCCAACCGCAGGACACTTGGGTGTCCGAAAGACGATCACCCGCCTGTCGCAAAGATATTTCTGGCCCGGCATGTACCGCGATGCAAAACAACACGTTCGGCACTGCGAGTCGTGCCAGAAATTTAAGACCGTTCAGACCAAAGCAGCAGGGAAAATGCTTACCCGTGTCGTAAGCGAACCCTTCGACATTCTCTGCGCTGACTTTGTAGGTCCGCTGCCCCGATCGAAACAAGGGAACTCGATGCTTCTCGTTTTCCATGACGTGTTCTCCAAATGGGTAGAGTTGATCCCACTCCGGAAAGCCACCGCTGCGGCAGTCCAGAAAGCGTTTAGGGAACGTATACTCGGGCGAGTGGGCACTCCCCGGAAGTTCGTGTGCGACAACGGAACCCAATTCACAAGTCGGGCCCTAAAAGACTACTTTGCTAAGCTCGGCGTGGAAGTCCAGTACACGGCTCCGTATTGTCCGCAGGAGAATCCCACCGAGAGGACCAATCGCACGGTGAAGACGCTGATTTCTCAGCTGTCGGAAGGAGACCAGAGTACGTGGGATAATATGCTGCCGGAGATTTCCCTCGCTATTAATAGTAGTGTATCGGACTCGACTGGGTATACTCCCGCATTTCTAACTCAGGGACGGGAGCTACGCTTGCCTGCGATGCTGTATGACGAACTCACCCCTGGATCAGCGGTCGCGCATACAGGTCCTGAAGACAAGGCGTCACACCTCCAAGGGATCTTCGACATCGTGCGGTCGAATCTGCAACGAGCATCTCTGGAGCAGGCGAGGCACTATAACCTTCGGAGGCGCGAATGGAGACCAACGCTCGGGAGCCAAGTATGGCTGCGACAACATCCCTTATCAAAAGCGACCGAGGGGTTCGCCGCCAAACTCGCTCCTAAGTATGACGGTCCCTACACCGTCGCGAAGTTCACATCGCCGAACTTGGTACGTTTGCAGCGCCCAGGAGACCGTCGGCGGCGGATCGCCAACATATCTCAACTTAAACCCTACCACGCAGAGGACGCCCTCGATGCGAGCGATGACGACATTACCGGGCCAAGTAACCCGGCACGGTAAGCGGCCTGGAACTACGAAATAACTTTAAGATCCATACTTGTAATAGGTTAAGATTAACGAGTCCTTTGTTAGCTACACCGTTAGGTAGGGAGTTCGAGAGGTAGGGTTATACCAATAAGTCTAGATTACTGTTTCAGATGGACGACGTAATCATGCTGTCCGATGACTCCCAAGACACCGAGGCCTTCTATCCACGGGCAAACGACGGGGATAGTCAAAGCGATGGACGCCTCTATATTGCGCCGCGGGAAGAAAGGGGGGGGTGTGACGAACCCGCCTAGGAGGCGTGTACGCCACAATGGCTTTTCTTACCTTTAGGATAGTTTTAAGAGAAATTACATGGAGTTCAATGAATATTAAGACCTAGTAAGATTAAATAAGTGATATCTAAGTTTAAATCCCAAGGTGGCAACGCTAACCGATATTTAGCCGAGGCGCATTTAATACTAGGAAAGTAAGGAGCTAAGATACCAGGAGTAGGAAAATACTGGAAATCCCGAATGCGGGAACAAGGAGAAAAGGGCATACGGACACACAATAACCTGGAGCAGGGCCTCTTGGCTCTTCTCTCGGGATCGCGAAACGAGGCAGACGCGTGATCGGCACACGGCTCATGCGAAACTTCGAGGCTCCACGTGCACTCCGCAAGTTCATTCGCAAAGTAGGTCAAACGGGACGCCCGACGCGACCTTTCGCAGTTCTCCCTTCGCGAGTGTTCCGCGGGTTTAATTTGGCCAAGCGCCACGCTGCCAATCGTGGGTGACATTGAAGAGGTTAGTACAAATAGGTCCTGAATACGCTCAGAACGGTGTAGCGGACTCGGGTGAGAAAAATCCCAATAAAGTTTTACGGTCGTGTAATCATATCTCCCGATCTTGTGTTTTCATTTCGTAGTTAAAAGTGAACCTAACCTAACCTAACCTCATTCCCAGAGCTACTTTGGGCCCGAACGTGGACATACTTCCCGTTCGCCACTGTAGCCGTAGTTTTTGCTCCGAGTAGTACCATCGGACCCGAACGCGGACCCCTTCCCGTTCGATCCGGTAGTTTCCCCATCCCCCTTTGCGTAGTTTGGGATTTGTGCGTGGACACCCGTCCCGCCGGATCCATTCTCTAGCGGTAGTTTCCCCATCCCCCTTGCGTAGTTTGGGATTTGTGCGTGGACACCCGTCCCGCCGGATCCGTTCCTCGGTAGTTTCCCCACCCCCTCGCGTAGTTTGGGATTTGTGCGTGGACACCCGTCCCGCCGGATCCGTTCTCCGGTAGTTTCTCTATCCCCCTGCGTAGTTTGGGATTTGAGCGTGGACACCCGTCCCGCCGGATCTATTAACCTAGTGTCTGGTCTACGTAGTAGTTTGGAGACTGGCACGTGGACACCCGTCCCGGCCGGTCAGACAAGTCGAATCCCTCTGTCCCTTTACTATCCGGCCCCGCCCCTCCCAAAGTATCTTCCCGGCTCGGCCTCGCCCGAAGGTCCAGGCCGGTGGATTTTCCGCCCTAACGCGAGATCCAAGACTTCCACCCGCAAAGTATCTCCCCGGCTCGGCCTCGCCCGAAGGTCCAGGCCGGTGGATTTTCCGCCCTTGACGCGAGATCCAAGACTTCAACACCCGCAAAGTATTCTCCCGGCTCGGCCTCGCCCGAAGGTCCAGGCCGGTGGATTTTCCGCCCTTGACACGAGGCCCAGGACTTTAACACCCGCAAAGTATTCTCCCGGCTCGGCCTCGCCCGAAGGTCCAGCCCGGTGGATTTTTCGCCCTTGACGCGAGGATCCAGGACTTCAACGACCACCCAGTATTCTCCCGGCTCGGCCTCGCCCGAAGGTCCAGCCCGGTGGATTTTTCGCCCTTGACGCGAAACACAAGACAAGGATTCCACGCGTCCACGTTTCCGTCGACACGGACAAGAACCTCCGGTGCAGACTCCCCATTAAAAATCATCCGTTCACCTGTAGAACGGAACTCTCTAGTCCGGTGTTTCGGTGATTTACAAATTTCTTGTAAAAGGACTCTTTTTTTTGTTATTTTTTTTTTCCCCAAAAAAAAAAAATTTTTTTTTTTTTTTTTTTTTATTTTTCTTTTGGGGGTGGTTTTTTGTATTAAAGCGGGGGGAAGGGGGGGGTGGTTTTTTTTGGGGGGGGGTCTCATCCATTGGAAGAAGGACGACCTTCGCTATGGGACGCTTAATGAGTCCCCGCGCAGTGCGGATGTCGACCACACGAACATGTCCATCGGATCCTGGAAGCACCGCGTCGATTCTGCCACTCATTGGACGGAAGGTCTGTTTTTTTTTTTTGGATCTCTTAAACCTTCTTCCAAACCCCACAAGGGTCCCATTTGGGGTGCTCCCGGAGAAATGAACTGCCAGAGCAGCTGCTGGTGATTATAGGTCACAGCTTCTTTGAGAGCTTGGAGAAACTCGCGGGAGAGTAGGGCAGCCGCACCCACAAAGGTCTTCCCATTGTCCGACTGAACTTGACGGGGGCATCCTTTTCGGGACAGGAAACGAGCGAAGGCGGCGAAAAACTTCTCAGTCGTAAGGTCGGAAGTAGGCTCTAAATGGATGGCCTTAGTGACGAAGCACAGCAAAACCAACACATACCCTTTCGTAATGAGACAGGTTGGTCCCGTATAGTTTTTGGTGTCAAAGGGACCGGCATAGTCCACAACGGAATATGTGCAAGGGCGCGAGAAGGACTTTCGTTCTTTTTGTAGGTCTCCCATCAGTTGCGATTGCAACTTATTTTTGTGGATGACGCAGACCTTGCATGAGTATATGATGGACTTGACCAAATTCCTCACCCTCGGGATCCAGAACTTGGAACGGATCAGACGGATCATCAGCTGATTGCCACCGTGCAGCGTTATGCGATGCGTAAAATGGGCGAGGAGTCGAGACAGATGGCAGTCGTATGGAAGGATGACAGGATGCCGTTCATCAAACTGGAGAAGCTCGGAGGCCGTGACCCGGCCGCCTGCTCTCATGACCCCTTGGGAATCAAGGAACTGGTTCAGGTATTGGACAAGGCTGGATGCTGGCCGTTTTCGGCTTAAGCAGCTAATCTCAAGGGCAAAGGGCCTGCGTTGCGTGACGGAAATCAGGAGACGCTCGGCCGACGCAATTTCAAGAGCTGTCAAGAGATCCTCAAACGGAGCTTTCGCGAGCGCTGGATGAACCGACGAGCGTAAGCGAGGACTCGCAACGCCTTGTCGAGTGAGGAAAAACGCTCAAGAATGTCTTCAGGGGGAGCCTTCGCAACATGGACTTTGACCGCTGGCTTCTCGAATTCAGTCACAAGGGGGTCATAGCCTTGAATGGACCACTCGCAGCGAGGCCACTGCAGCCAGGCAGGACCATGCCACCACAGCTGTCTGTCCGCAAGGTCTTGAAGCGCCACCTCCCGGCCCATTTATCCACCTCGGTGAACTGGGAGATCTTGGTCACTTGATTTGCCACGAACGTTGTCCAGTGGCACACCGGCTTATGCAACCAGGCGAGAACAATCGCCGAGTCCGTCCAACAGTGCAGGGCGGACGCCTGCCCGGGCATCTTCCGAAGAACGGCGTTGGCCATTTCGGACATTAACAAGGCTCCGCACAACTCGAGCAGCGGGAGCGACACCGTTTTTACTGGGACCACCCGCGTCTTTGCCGTGAGCAAGTTCACCACTACCGCAGACCCAGCCTCAACTCAGAACCCATGATGCTCAATTTTCAAATGTGGTCGGAAAGCGACCCATCGGGGAAGGTGGATCTGATCGAGAGCGGAGTAATTTTCCAGGAAGTCAACCCATCTTTGGCAAAAATCTCGAGGGAGGGTGTCATCCCATCCTAATTTTTCGAGACAAATGTCCTGCATGAACATCTTTGCCCGGACTATGAAGGGGCGAGCTAGCCCGCTGGATCAAATAGTTTGTCGATTTGGGATAGGACTTGACGCTTCGTGGACGTTGAACCCCTGGTCAATTCGGGCGGAATGAAGAAAAACTCGTCAGACGTCGTCTTCCACCGCACTCCGAGAGTTTTAGCTCTCTGCGTCGATTTCAAGGAAGCCCGCGCGAAGGAGATTGTCGCTCTGGATGTTGGCCAAAATCGCCTTGCTATTGGATGTCAATTTTCTAAGAGGGAATCCTGCTGAACCCAGGGCCCCCTGGAGCTCGCGGATAACCGCTTGCGTTTCGGTTTTGGAGTCTGCCCGCGCGAGTACGTCGTCGACTTACATGTACTGTCGGATAATGCAACTCGCCTACGGATACCTCGACTCTTCGTCTTCGGCAAGCTGTTGCAGGACACGGATCGCTAGGAACGGGGCAAAATTGACCCCGAAGGTGACTGTCTTCAACTCGTAGTCGCGGATTTCCCCATCGGAATTGCGGAATAGAGTACGCTGCAAGGGAGTATGCTTGGGGTCTACCCAAAGTTGCCGATACATCTTCTCGATGTCGTCGTTGAAAACGAACCTAAAGTCTCGTCAATTTAGGATTTGAATAGTGAGGTCGGATTGTCAGACTGGTCCCGTGTAAGGTATGTCATTCAGACTGGTCCCGTTTGCGGAAGGGCTAGGGGCGTTGAAAACCACACGCACTTTAGTGGTTGTTCTCTCGGCCTTAAGAACAGCGTGATGTGAAAGGTAGTACGTGGCGGAACTGCTCGTCAAAGGGATCTCGGCCATGTGACCTAAATCGAGGTATTCTTGGATCACAGAGTCATTCCGGGCCTTCAGGGGAGGATCTCTTTTTAGGCGCTGGAGCCGGAGCCGGAGCAAAGGATCGTGAAGATGCGAGCTCGGAACCACTATGCTCGGGATCGCGCAAGGGGAGCATCACAACGTATTTGCCACGATTGTCCCTTCTTGTAGTCTGGACAAAATTGTGTTCACAGACGGAATCAGACTCGGGGACGATCTGCAGAATTTGGTAAGGAGATGATCCAACGTCGAGTCCGCATGTAACTCGCGGGAGAAGGCGGACACATTGCGGTGGCCGCTGGAGATACCGGGCCTGTCAACACCCATCCAAAAATGGTTTCCTGACCGAGAGGTGAACCGCAAATGTTAGCCCTGCCGTTGCCGAGGAGGATGAATGGAAGAATGTCGGCTCCTATCAAGACATTGATTTGGGAGCTCTTGAAGAACTTGGGATCCGCAAGGGGGATGTCAGGAAATCCCTTAAGAAGATCTCGAGGGACTGGATACAAAGGCAGATTCCCGGCCAGCTGTGGAAGAACGTGAGCTGAAGTTTCTAAATGCAGCCCGGGTCTGGAAGGCGATCGAATAGAAATAT